CTGAGCCTGCCCAGGACAACAGTGTTATGCCTGAGCCTGCCCGGGACAGCATTGTTATATCTATGTCAGCCCTATCCAGTAGTGCTATGTCTAAGCCAACCCAGGACAGAAGTGTTGTGTCAGAGCCAGAAAACAAACTGCTTACAGGTTTCTATTCTAACCCCAACCAAGCACCTACAACACTTGACAAAGAAAACAAATTGGCTGCAAGTTCTCATTCTTCCCCCAAACAAATACCTACAACAACAGCCACAGGAAATTTGTCTACAGGTTCCCATTCTTCCATCAACCAAATACCTAAAACAACAGCCACTGCTACAGAAACCAAACTGCCTACACGCTCCCATTTTTCCCCCAAGCAAGTAGCTACAGCAACAGTCACGGGCGAGAATGCTATAAAGCCACCATTCAAGCAGAAGAAAACACCAGGAGTTCAAACAAAGACTAAATCACCTCAGTCCAGATTTGATCCACTGGAGAATTTCCTATTCCTGAGGTGTGTGTCCCCACCTCTCTGGAAGCAGTCCACCCCAGCAGGTGCTAGAACCAGGACAGTGCCAGCAGGTGACAGACTAGAGACTGGGAAAACACAGCCCCAAAAGACTGGGTCCTCTTCTGCAAGTGCGAGGGCTCTACCAGCTCCAGCAAGAGACAAAATGGAGACTGGGAAAACACAACCAGAGCTGTCTGCAGTCAGTGAGTCAGATAAAAGTAAGGAACAAGTTCATAAATAAAAGTTATCAAACACAAGCTGAAAAACTTTCATATTGTTATTTTATGGCCAACCTGGTAACAGTATGGAAGTTTTTCAGCTTCTGTTGATTGTTTTCATATATGATCCAACTACCAAGCTAACGAACATTTTGATCATTTAAGTAACAAGATGTTAGAGTTTGAGTGATATAAGTTTGTATGCTATGACCAAGGTTATCAGGGAAAGATTATATGGGAACATCATCAGCAGACTTGTAGTAGACTGAGGTAATGCTGGCTAATTGTACCAACATGTGTGTGTCTTGAACTTGTGTTCACCTAGCTAAACAAATGATTGTGATTTTGAAGGTTTGTGAACAGATTACAGATGCATTTAAAGGATTTTGAAGTCTTTTATTTTTATTTTCTAAATTTATTTCATATTTTTAATTATTTTAGATTTTCATTTTCTGGTAGTGATTAACCAAACTAGTTGGAATGTGATAAAAGTGATGTTTAGGTTCTTAATTTTTAGCAAGTTATCCTCTTCATGTCTTTAAATGAAATTATTTATTCAGATATGAATACATTTTAAATATTGAGTATGTTAACATTCAGTGCCCACTGGCGCCACTCCCAGAACCCCCAGGGCCAGGCAGAACCTCTGTGTGGAGAAGAAGACAGAAACACCCAGAACTCCCAATAAAAATGGCAGCTCCAAGTCAAGGAGCACAGTCCTTGATATTAAAATGACTGGTATGATGCACATGTATTCTCTCACCACTGTACTGAATTGTATTGGATTAATTGCAATTTTGCTAATTTATTCATTTCAAAATTCAAATTTTTGAAAAAACAACATTTACTCATTTAAATCTTTGATTATGTCATACATTGCTTACATACAAAAAATATCTCTATAGATTAATTTATACATGGTAAGGAAGGCAAAAAAAATCTTTCCTAAAATTCTGCTGGTTACACAGGCATATTATCAGCATATTACCTTTAGTAACTACAGGCATCTAGAAGTACACAGCTGCCGTATATCCATATAGGAAAAGAAGGGAATGATCAAATATTAAGCTTTAGTTAGTTTTCCTAATCACAAGTATAGATTATCATTAACATTTGGCAATGAAATTTCAATTTAGTGTTAATATGAGTAATGTTTTCTAGATCAGAAACATTCCCCTTTGATGTCATATTTCAGACACATATCAAGGTCTCCTGTCCTATATTGAGAGTAGCAGCCAGTCTGCCCTGAGCTGTCTGAGTGACCATGGTGTACTGCCTGCCACACATCCCTTCTCCTCTCTCTCTCCAGACATCTCCAGGTTTATACTAAAACAGTATGAGAAGTCTCTCCAGGCTGGGACAAAAGGTAGGCACTGATACTGTTACAGTGTAGCTTGTCAGTATGGCCCCATTCAAAATAGGGGACTAACTAGCTATAGTCCAAGGGTCAAATATGGTGACCCATTATAAAGCTTGCCATCTAATCCACTAATAGACACTGAATAGATATCCCGTGGGGAAGTATTCAAGTGGGTTGGCCATATTTGACCCTTGGACTAGTTAGTCCTCTATTCTGAATGGGGACTATGAGTGCATTCTCATAGATTTAGATCGACCCATCTAGATTGACCTAACTCCCTGGGGGTTCACGCTAAATTGATGTCAGCCGAGTGTGCACGGTAGTTAATTACCCCCTTACAGCTTTTAGTAGGCAGGACAGACGCTTTAGCCGGCTTAGCTGACAGTAATCTAGTGAGACTCCCCACAGGGATGGATTGATCTAAAATCTGTGGGAATGAGGTCTATGATATGTATCATCATTCATTTATAACTGGTTTACTTCGGGGTATGGTCTCATAACAAAGCTTTGCTTAGGCTGTGTTAACTGTCCATGCTGTAGTGATATTATCATATTCCAGAGAACTCTAGGTTGTCCCAGGCTGTGTAAACTGTCCATGCTGTAGTGATATTATCATATTCCAGAGAACTCTAGGTTGTCCCAGGCTGTGTTAACTGTCCATGCTCTGGTGGGAGCAGCAGACATCCTGATCAGCTGCTGTATACCCTCTGCCATAGCTCATCTGACTGCCATGCAGGAGAAATACCAGGCTGTACTTGGAGGTAAAGTATGTGTGTGTGTGTGTTTGTGTGTGTAAGCATGTGCGGTTGCAGGTGCATGCTCAAGCATGCACGACTGTGAGCTTGTGCTGTGTTCTTCCATGTGTTTTATTATGCAGTATTGCCCTCAAGTGACATTTGTTTTAGGTGGAATTTATAATCTTGATATTTCATTGTTTATGAATTATATATAGTTTAATTTATTAAGAATTGATATGCTAAGTCTTGCTCTTCTTTATGTTGTTTAGATAGGAACAGTAATCTGGATTTTAGAATAGAAAAGGAAAGGGAGTGCTGAAGTCTTGATAAATAGAAATTAGATGGAAACAGATATTTATACCAGTTATTATTATTATACTTACTGTTTATATAATGCAGACATGATGTCCCTATTCAGGCTGTTTGGACAGTGTTCGTCGCCACCTGTTTGAGAGCCAGTACACACTAGACCAGAGGAGAGAGCTACACCCAAAGCTGAACACCCTCTGCAAGTACCTCAGTGAGTGGCTACACAAGATGGCGGCTCGCGGCAAGGACCAAGAACCTAAGGTGACAGCACGGAGGAATACTTTTTTTATTAAAGCCATTCCTTCTTTTCATTAAAGCCTTTCTTTTTACTTTTTCTCAAGGATGGCATGATTTATAGTATTTGGAAAATGTTTGGAAAAAGAAATAATTCTGATAAGACTAACATTGATTTTTGTCTCTACTACTTTGTCTGTACTGTAGCATCTGAATTTAAAACAAAAAAGTTATCTTTATTCTACCTACAAATATTTGGGGATATTCTGGAAACGGAAACATTTTGGTTAGGCTTTCATAAGCTTTTACTTGGTCAGTAACAAGTCATCTAAAAAATCATTTTCTCTCAAACTCTATTCTACCTTCTTTTTCCCCTCTCAGATTCTGATCATCTGTAGTCGTAGTTTGCCTAGCCTGATGATCCATATCCAGACTACAGTGTCACTTCTTGCTGGTATTCAAGCCACCACTTTACCTGAACAAGACACTCCCAGTCTCAGCTATCACACTATTACTGATAGGTACACATGGGTCACAGCTGATACTTTGTTTTAATTTGTGTTTTTATTTTGTTACTTTTTTAATTTTATTCAGCAGCTAACCCCCTGTTCATTAACCAGCATAGTCCATGGCTGATACTTTGTTTTAATTTTTATTTTCATTTTGTTACTTTTTAAATTTCTCTCAGCAGCTAACCACTGTTCATTATCCTGCAGCCATAAACAGGTGCTCTGTCCGACTGATGACTAATTTTACAGCTAATAATGTGAGAATGATACAGTATCAAGTCTGCTGAAGACAGTGTTTTAATTTGTGTTGTTATCCATAACTTGTATGCTTTTCTGCCATATTATTGTAGTTTATTTAGGTTTATCAGTTCTTGTTGATGATATACAGAGTAATTTTCATTTTGGTTTGTTTTTAATCTGTTCTATTCTTTTGTTTTTTTTTTGTTTTTTTTTTTTAATTTACTCTATTCTATTTACAAAATTTGTTCCTGTTCCTTGATTTTATACATGATTATTTTAATGTTTGTCTGTTATCTGAATTCACTGCACAGGAGCTGTACATTTAGTGCAGAAGTTTGCATTGCTTAAGAAAAAGAAATTGATAATCTTTTTAACTTCAAATCTCTGTGAGTTCTTCACTCCTATGTTGCATATTCTCAACCTACCCTGTTCTTAGCACCATCTCTATTTTCATTTTCCCCTCCTCAGCCTGGACAAGTCCAACTGCCTGGTGGTGTCTGGTGGTCAGATCAGCGCTGACTTTCCCTGGGCGCAGTTCTCCCTGGTCGTAGAGTATGAATACCTGGAAACCTCTGCCTGGACACAGTTATGTCAGAGACAGAATATCAGACATGTCGCCTTGAGGGTTGTCAAGAAGTTATTGGACGCAGCTAGTCTGAATGGTGATTTATTTATTTATTTATTTATTTATTTATTTATTTATTTATTTATTTATTTATTTATTTATATGTTTATGTTTGTGTTAAGCATTGTAGCATGTGTTACATATGTCGACAAAATTTTATTTGATCATCTTTGCCTTGTGGTTATTATGTTGTATTTAACATTAAAATCGATAACATACGTAATAAACAGCAGGCCATATTATGATTTAAAAATCATTGTCATCACTATTTCCATCCAAATCTGAATTTTGAATTGAAATCTCATAAAATTCCAGCTTCAACTCTCAGGACCCCCACTGTTGACAAACGTCCGCAGTTTACCTTCATTGCTTCACATGATGTGATAAACAACGCTGAACTCCTTCATTCACTGGAGTCAAGGTATCACCTAAATCTTCAAGCTTTGTCATTGTTCATACTGAATGTCCATGATGCTTTTATCTTTTATTTTTAATTAATCTTTTTAGGATTACTTATCTTTTTGTAATGATTTAATTATCAGCAACTGTTACAGTGATTTTTTGATTGGCCTTATTGGATTAATAGGTACTATCCATAGATACTCATAGCACCTTAGTTTAAGTACTTTTGCACTTATTTTATTTCATCTATATTATTTTGAATGTAAATTTTTATATGTGTATAAGATATGATGTCCTGCTCCTGGAGAGAGACTACAGATGTATGCAGCGTAGAGAAGCCATCAGAGAAGCTTACTACGCTGACCTGATCATAGACGAGAGGACGTGCGTGGTGTTACACAGGCTGAGTGATTTGATGGAAGATCACCAGGTGGAGCCACTGTTGAAGAAACTGATTGGACTGAGTTCGAAGTACGAGACATGCTGGTTGATCCTGTATTCATTGTACACGCAGGGAAAACATACCCAGTAAGTATAACACTGATATTGAATTCTTTGTACATGCAGGGAAACATACCCAGTAAGTATTGCTAATCTTTTCATTGAGTTGTTCATACCATATATACACTATATTAATAGTGTCAGACTTTGATTTCAAATGCATTGCTTGTATATTGGATCAGGTTATAAATTCTTAAGATATATGTATCACCTTGATATAAATGAGAGCTAATTAAGTTATGGAATAGTTTTATTATTAGAAGTTGGCTACTTTCTATATATCATTTTTTGTCTTTGTGTAGATATGCATACTCTGGCAATGTCAGCAGCTGTATCTCCAAGTTACTGGGTACAGTACATCACCTGTGTAGAACACAAGACAAGTTTGATGTACAGGTAAGTCTGGTGGTTAAACCAGGTGTGTTACTGGGCACTTAACATTGAGATTTAACTTTTCTGATGTTTTATACCAGTAGTAAAACAGAGACAACTTAATTAATACACCAGGTGGGAAAGAGCACGCGTAGAGGCAACAGGGTATTATCTTTATTTATTTATTTATACCAGGGGCAAATTCCGAGCTATTTTCTGACAGTCTTCCAAATTGTCTTTGTTGATCCATCCTCCAGTTTTGACTATCTTCTAACAAAAGAATTTATATACACTTCAGTGTAAACTTAAAAATCTGACCTTCTTCCGGAAGACCCAGAAGGCAGCCTCTATCTGCCCCTATAAATATATATATATATATATATATATATATATATATAGTTATTAAACTTTGCAGGTGTTATACTCTAGTAGTACAGTAGAGACAGCTAAGTTGATACGTCAGGTGGGCGAGGTCACACTTAAATCCACCAAGGTGTTATCGCAACAAGACTGGCTGGGCAGGAGCTGGCTAACCCATGATATGAGTACAGTATGTATCTGCTGGATTTAATTATCTCAAAATTTTCATTTCAATTACAAAAATATTAACCATGATTAATCAATACTACTTCATGGTATTCCCTCTTCAGGCCCTTAGCCATCAATTTCAAAAGGGGGGGGGGGTCATGAAAATAAAAGTAAAATTCAAATAAATACAACTAATTACAAATAAACTATGAACAAAAAATAATGTTTCTTTATTTTCAGCATGAGAAATTCCTGTTGCGTTTTCCTTGCATCAACTCATTTAGGTAACTACATCTTGGTATGATTAAATTTATTTTGAAAAGTTTATTACGAGACTCAGGTTCATAACACATTTCTAAAATAATTTATATATTTATATTCATATATCTGTTTTTCTCTGATGATGGTCATTAGTTTTGTGTGTAAATCTCCACTCAAGTTGAGATATGGAAAAGTTTTATTAGTTGTATTATTCTCTGTTTGAGTAATATCAGTTTTAATTGTGGCCCCTTTACCCCCAGTGCCCAGATCCTGCTGACGGTCACCTCCCTGTCCCAGCTGGTGTTGATTCCCTGGCCACAGCTGGTCACTGTGTGTCCATGGCTGCCACATAAAGTACTCAAGGTATGGGTATCAGGGTGAATAAGACATCTTGCGGTTTAGGAAAATTTATGTCTATTTTAGTTATCTTTTAAAATTAAGTGGGTGAAAGTGTTTTGGATTTTTGGATGGTATTTCTTCCTTGCAAATATCTGAGTGACTTTAGCCATATCTGAATTTACAATATTAATTTATTTATTCATTTTATTAGAATATTGCATTTAATTTTGTTTTTTATGACTTAATTATTGCACACACCTCTCACATGTTGACAGTTCACTGAATCTATAGGAAATGGTTTCTTCTTTTCAATATATATGAAAAATGAAATAAAAATAATTTCATTTGTAGGTGTTTATACACCAGGCATAATTTTCATCTTTTCGTTCCTTACAGCAATTTTTCTGCTTGCTGCATGGCCAAGCAGGCTGCCAACATTATATCCAGACACCAGATGGCATTGACAATCTAAATAATATCCCTAATGATGGAACCGTCTACCTTGAAAATGCAGCTTCCATGGTGACTGAGCAAGTTGCCCAGGCAACAGAGATGAATCCGCCAATAGGTGTCAGTGCAGTGCAAGACAGACCAAACCCATTATTTGAGAAGGTTGCTGAACATTCAGTCCCCCGTAGTAGCAGACAGGGAGTGAATCAAGATGTACATGACTATATGGGTAATCCTAAAACAAGGCATTTATATGACTGGAACAAACCACCTGGTTCTTTTAGTCAAGTATCCTACAGTGTGCCTGCTTTCAACACAGAAAATGAATTGAAGAGAAAAGGGAGGGAAGAAAGGGCTGAACAAAACATCTTCCTGCTGGAGAAGAGTGGCACATCTTCTGGACCGGCAGGGTATTTTGTTAATGGAAAGGCACAGTTAGTGCCATTCCCTGTTCCTCAAACTCATGACCAGAAATTAGTCCATGGATCCAGTGCCTACAGCACGTCATCTATCAAACAAGATAACCACAGTCTTCCCCACATACAGTCCTCAGAGAGTGCACTTCAAGGAATTCACCAAGCTCTGGCCGTGGTCAGTGCCCAGCCTGAATACAGTGGCTCCAGAGTGAAGACCCCTGGCCTGGGCCAGAGTATGCCAGTACCAGGGACCTTGCCTCAGATTGGCAATGATACAGAGATGAACAAGCAAGTCTTACATCACACCTCCATTGGTGCTGTGGCAGGCTCTGAAATTAAAGGCAGATATGAAATCCCAGGAGTTGTAACCTCAGGTGTTGTGACCTCGGCGCCATCAGTTCCACCAGGCAACCATATTGAGTTCCAATTTCATCCCAGGACTGCTCCAAAGGAAACTATGGAGAGGACTGGCACCTTCTCCCCTGGGAAACACCCCAGTGGAAGCCTAGAGACTGTCCCAGGGATTAATATGGTGAACACCACA